GGACCATGGTACGTTTTCCGGTAATTTTCTGGTATACTACGTTTCGGATGAACGGACTTGAATGTACCGTGGAGTCATGTTAGTGTCGCGACTACCTGAAGTCACCAAGAGATTTCGGAGGGAAGCGGAAAGGAAAATGTTGAAGAAAGTAAGCATTCAGTTCGATTTGGATATCATTATACAGATAGCCGTGCAATCAGTGGGTGAAAGGAAGAGACCATCTACAGATAATAGTAGATATTCAAATTCTCTAATGAAACAGAAATCACTCGGAAATCACTTATAGGTTTGTCAAATTGACAACGTCACTATTCCCTCGGAGGCATATTGTCACAAGCAGTTGAAGATGTCGATAGCTCAACATTTTGGTGGAATGTTTCTTCGAGTGGTAATCGATTCATGCGCAACATGAGGATCATTGCCACAGGGTAAATTGCCTAATGAGCCATGCCACCACAATAAGCTCAAAGCCCTTTGTTAAGTAAACTGTTAAATAGGCTTACAATTAATCCATTGAAGAATTCATTGATAATTTCAAAGGCAATACCCAGCAAGGATAATCCTGCTGTATGAGCTTGAATAATTTGAAATATAGCACTCAAAAGCTGTAAAGAATTATTTTTTGATGTCTGGGAGAAAAACTAAATATACTTTCCTGCACAATGCAAAACAGAATTCCCGACTCAATTAAAAGCAAGAGTATTATGATTGTTGGGGAAATTTTGTTTTTTCTGGTCGAGTATAATATTCTTGTTGCACGGTGATGATACCTGGAATTGGACAGTTTCATGAATCAGTAAAATAGAGGTGGGGCTCATATTCTTGAGTCATACCAGACTTTCAGCCCAATTATCATTGTTGCAGTCAAATTTACACCTAAAGAAATGAAGATAGCAGCAAAATCAAGGCTGCTTGCAGTGGCAAAGTTTAGTTGTATATCTCCCACAATACAACCAGCCAGATTGACAGCTGAAAAAAATCACTGAGAATTACACATAACACATAAATAAGAATGTGTAAATTTTACCGATATTTGCAATCATAAGACCGCTAAGCACAAGGCGAAGAATTTTTGCATGGGGCCATATAGCACATGCTCTCCATGTAACAATACCATCACTCAACATTAACTGCCAGAATTTGGTGAGTTTCAGATAATGTCAGAATTTTTATTCAACGCCCACTGTTATGGTTCCAGGCCAGGTTATTTGTGCATCCCAAGGAAGAGTGATCTCATTGCTTGCAGCAATCTGTCCTTCAAGTCCTTGACTTGAAGTGTATATGAGGGCAGAGTTCACCTGGATCACGGGGCCACCAGAGACTAGAATGAAGTTCCATGTATTTGCAAGAACCAACAGAATCATGCAGATAAGGATGGCTTTATGGGTATATCCTGTGGCGCCTTTCTTTCTAAAATCCCTAATTCAGTGATGTATTCTCTATTTGAAAGTGGGAGAGCTTGATACTCTTCTTACAAGAGGAGATAAAATGCCATGGTGGCTGATCCAATGAAAATTCCTGAGTTGAATAATAGGTAGTATATATGAATGATACGCTTTTGATAACTCTACGAGAAGATACTCACCATATAAGACCCATAATATAGTGAATTCCATAATATTGAAAAAGATGTCGCTTCCTAGCTCGGTAGAAAGTTGAACTTCAGATGGAGTCATGTTTAAGGGGAGTTGAAAGTTGCAGGAGGCGTACATTGGTGTTGATTACTTATACCTGTCAATCCTCCATTTCGAGAGACTTATCATAAGAGGCTAGGACGATGACTCCAAGAATGGACTAATTCCTCATTGAAATTCGTTTGAGCTCATTTGATCTGCCTAAAATAGTTATATGACCTTCAAGTCCGACTTTCTTCCTCCAGGTCCCATGACCATACTTATTCACCGCTCACAGCTGAGAGGGGATACATACAGGGCCGAGCTAAGGTTAGAATTTTTCGGCATTCAGTACTCCTCTCCGGTAAGTTTTCGGAAAACCTTGGCAGGACCGATCTTTTTTTTTTTGCATCTCTACATCTAACTCCCTATGTGCGCAAATTACGCCTAGATATGTGGCAGCTCAGTCTATCCATTGAACCTATGCTTGCTCGTGTACCCAAGTCTTTTCCTTTCCCTGAGATATTCAAATCGACTCCTTAAACGATTGAGATACAATTGACCTGCAAGCCCGACTTGCATTCATTCGCATCTTCCGTTCCCCAACAGTGAAACAAATTATTTTCTGGAATGGGACGTTCTATCTGGACGTGCTAGAGATTAGCTCCTCCGTAGACACTCTAGTCTTTGACGGCAGAGCTACACTAGTGGAAAAGCAAGGAAATGCGACGGCCAAAGACATCGTCCTCCAAATAACTTCATTGGTTTTCATAAAGGATATTGATGTAATCCTGGGAAGTATGGCGATTTATCTGATAGCGCCTTCTACATACACGCTTTGACATTACAATTATCCTCGATCGTTCACTTTAGCTTGGAGAATTTTAAATACGGGAAGTGCGGAGGTACTCGCTATGGTAGGTCGCTGCCGGACTGCTTTGGAGAAATCGACTCTTCCGAATGAAACTTACAGAAATTTAATCTGCGATAGAAGTTCTTGATTTCGTTGACTGGAAAGGTAGTAGAATCTGATCTATTGAAGTGCACTTGTCTGGGGATCCTCAGACTCACCATCGTATACCATCTAGAGGGTTAGTATATTTTGTAAAATCCTCGTAGGGAGATTCTAGAACTTATTTCGACATCCTCTAGAGAGTTTTTTAAGTCGATGTTGAGTCTGGTGAAGGGCCCGGTAGGGTCAAGTACTATAATTTTGAGCTGCCTAAGTAATACTAATGGGACCTTACTTCAATCAAACAAAGTCACGACGACGATAGTCATCATAAATCTTCATTGATTGAGCATCGTCGTCTAATTCACGGTCCGCCGTGATATTCAAGACTGGATCGGATGTGGCTCCTGGAGTAAATCTCAGCGTCAGATCCTTTTCCTGTCCTTTCAATCCTCCCCCAAATCTCCGAGTTCCAGAACCGGAATTGTATCCCGATTTTTGTGATCCACTTTGTTCAACAACATCGACGTTTACGCCCATGGCGACTCGGACTATGATCAGAGTTGGTGCGATTCCCTAAATCTTCATCACCAAAATTCTAAGCAGTAAGTACAAGAATAGAGCTTACCACAGCTTCTGCTAAAATGCTGAACAAGTTTGGGCAAAGAGGAAGGAACTGCCCCACCAGAATAGTGGAAAGAATTGCTACAGGGTACAAAATTCCAGATTCCAAGCTAATTGAGCGTTAATGGAAAAGTCGGACTTCAGAGACATTTGACGTAGACTCACATAATCGCAATGATTCGCTTATATTTCTTCTGAGATCCATTCCGGCCGTACGCAGCGTTCATTTGGCGGCTGATCCACCATATTCTTCCGGCTTTATCACACGAAAAATAGGTGAACAATGATATTTAACAAGGATATCATGATGGATTGCTCACCGATGAGACCTGTAACCAATGCGTTGACTACGAAATTGACAATCATGAATACCGAAGTCATAGCGGTGGTGCTTTCGATCCAGAAAGTGTCAGAAGAGGACAACGCTTGGTCTTGTGGACCGTCGACGAGAAAGACAACTTTGAAGCGAATCACAGCATCAAGAATTGCCAGCACTATGGTAAAAGATATGAGAACCCATTAATCACAACCATAAGGGTACATTTTACCATTGTTCAGAGCCGATATAATCACCGGAACTACCACGACACGTTTGCGGAAACCCCAGACAGCGTAGAGACGATACAGCTAATATCACTGAGCTCCGGAGTTTCAACGGGAGAAAAAAAGATATACCAGACTGGCATCGGCAGCAATGCTAAAAGGCGTCAGTGTCAAGAGCGGTCACAGAAAATATCGCAGGGTTTGACCCACTTGGAAAGAGAATACATCAAATAAACCAGCTCTCTAAACCAATCAGTGCACACTGGATAGCAACTACAGCATGGTTCACCTACTCAAGTATGTTCAAAAACAGCGCCTTCCCTTTCCCTTGCGCAGCCGAGGTGATTTCCCCATTGAACACCTCAAAACTAGAGATAATTGCGCCGGTGTTTCCAACAATGTTCAAAACCAAAGCCGTAGTACCAAAGCAAAAAAGCGTAACAAGAGTGAAAAGATGAAATGTGTGTTGATTCTGCACACCCCGGTTGCGAAAGAGGACATATATAGCACTGAAGAATAGCATCAGATAGACACCTGGAGGATCCGAAATCAGTTTCTAATCCAGCTGGATCGTACGAGAGGCACCATAGAGTAGGACGCCAATCTATGCAAGCACTTGTGAGCCTGGCATTATAGTGAAGACTTGGAGCTTTCCTACTGAAATAACGATGACAGGATTGATAATAAAGGCATAGTCAGATGCCATTTCCGATTGAGGAAGAGAGCTCAGTGAGCACCGAAAAAACGAAAATAAGGGACCAAGCCCGGAGAAAAAATCAAGAGAGAGGAGAAGGGGAATGAAAGTAAAGCGAAAGAAAAGGGTATAAATGACAAGACCGACCTCTGTATATAATCCATCTTCATGTGCAAACTTCAAAGTGATGGGACGTGCATTCCAATTAATTGAGTAGATTCTAGCGACAAGGGTGATGCAACCACACGGCGGAGATTGCAGTAGCAGGCACCATCATCCATGATTGTCGTCTTGACTGTCGTTGATTTTCAGAAATTTGCACATAGTAGCGCGCCTCTGCGGTAGAGCTTGGAAGGTCTCACCTGAAGTACTAGAGCTCGAGAAACAAACATAGCACACCACCAATAATTTGCTTCATCAGACTGGAGCATTTTGGGAAAAAATTATTTTCAATACAGAATAGAAATGTACTTTTTCGGAGGAATTTCGAAGCTGTTGTGCCTCTATTCCTCAAGTCCAATGAAAGATTCATGGCACAGAAGCTTATTTTACACTATGGACATTACAAGCATGGTCGCTTTGCCGGAGTGGTCTAACGGGATCGCCTGCTACAATGCATCCAGCGGTTGGGCTTTGCCCGCGTGTGTTCGAATCGCACAGGTGACGCATCTTTTGCATTGTTTCCTTACGGTTTTAAGCTGCGTTGAAGTACGTGTTTCACCGTTTCTCGATCATTTTCTTGCAATTGAGAACTGTATTGGCTACCTCATTTCATGTCTTCCAATATTCCGATGCTTCACAGACGATCCCAGTCGACTATTTTTTTGTAGTGGTGTAATTAAGTAGAATTAAACCAAACTCAACTACCTATCCTCTAGGTCCACTATGTCCTGGTACTTACACTGAGTCACACTGTTCCACTTAGGCCAGAGGAAATCAGGCAGCTAGACTCCTGTGAATACTCATGCTGTGTATATATGTACTAGCTGATCTCCCATTTTTTTCTCTTTCTGTTCATGCTTCTACTTCCTCAGATCATCCTCACCATAATTAATTGTGAATGTAATTTACCATCAGCGGTTTGGGAATCAACTAGGTGTTCCTCAGGACTTCGCGCGCGTTCAACAGGTTTCTAAATGTATTATATGTGTGTGTGGATAATGTCCATACACCTTATTTATTCGAATTTATGGATTTATTTGCTTTAATGACAATGAAAAATATTCTGTTAACCTCAGCGTACTACTAAGTCGTACATTGAGATTAACTAGAATCAGTTTACGGATCTGATTCGTTCATAAGTACATGGTAGCATTGACATTATGTTTATACAAGGCACTATCGACGAAGTTGTAGATCATTCTGTGATCGATTTCAATCTTCCGGCGACGCCCGCCACAGATGTGTTCTGGCTGTAAACTTGCTTTGATCCTGCGGACTCTCAATGCTCGAGCCCAGGTCTACTCGAACAAGGATCAGTGTTGGAGCAATTCCCTATGGAATAGTAAGTACCAATGTACAACACAGTTGCCCACATACTTTAAACCTACCATAGTCTGAGCTACTATGAGCAGTAATCTGTCAACGTCCATATGGATTTGCAACTCAATTACAAGAGCAACAATTATGGAGATCGGGTATAATGCACCAGACTCGATTCTGGAAAAAACCAATGTCAATTCTTTCTCCCCCTAGTCTTGAGGGAAGGAGGAGATATATGTCACCTACATAATTGCTACCAGCCGGTATATTTGCTTGCTATTAATGCGAGCTTTATTGACCTTGTCAAGCTCTGGATAGCAGTTATTTATCTGACTTAGCCGCCAGATTCTTCCCGCTGGCGTAATTTGAAAGGTAAATCACTGCAAAATTCTGCTGAACAAGGACCACTACTACTAACCTATGAGTCCAGTTAGGAGGGTATTTGCAAAGATGGTGCCTCCAACAAATGCGAATATTATGATTGTTGCAGTTATATTGTCCGGCGAGCCATTTCTCAGTGAGCGGGTCACGGTTGATATGTCACCTTCAATCTCAAGAACTAGAGAGGCAATTTCTAACCCTGTAATGAATGTCACTTAGCGGTGAGTATGCACACACACTCAACATTTGGAATTCAACTTCTCACCCAAGTTTATACCACATAAAATTGCAGGGCCAACAATGATGGTCTTTCTAGAGCCCCAGATGAAATAGCAACGGGATAGCTTGGGTTATGAGATTGGGCTTCAATGTGATTTAGAAATGAGATGAACAGATCACTGACTAATATTGCATCAGCCACAGTACTAGGAATTAATGTTTAGATTCAGCTGTTTTTGCAAGGTTTTAAAACTCAGGACACAATGATCTTACTTTGCAACTAAAAAGATACCGTTTGAAGAACATCTAATATCAATAAAATTAGAGTGCGCATTTCAAGAGAGCCTAACCAAATAAGACTTACGCTAAATACTGAAATAAAGCATAGTGGTTGTCAGGATTGAATGAAGGCTGGCTGGAAACAAGTTCCAGTGTGGCGCTTGAAATAGTGGACTGATAAAGTGACAAGGTGGACAGAATCGTTACAATGCTGATAAGCAGATAGAGACAAAGAAGAGAAATTTGGTAAAAATATGGTCTTTTGCGCCTGCGCTGATGAAGTTGAAGATATATATAGATCCAAACCAGCACTGTATAGGCACCTGGAAATTGCATGTCTTAGCTCAGTTACTTGATAGAATTTTTGAGAGTTTGACCGTTTACCATAGAACAAAAATGCGAACTGAATATCCCAAAAATATTCGTATGTGAGCACCACACACACAGTAAAAACGCCACTTCATGACTACTCACCATTGTCACAACCCAAAACGGTCGTACAACAATCTCCACATACTCAGCTGGCGTAATGAAACCATTTGCAACAGCTGAATGTTCTATGCTCATGACAATATCTTGGGAAGTTGGGATGAGGGTGGACGGAAAGAAAATATTCTGAAATCATTCTTTTCATGATACTTATAATCCTCAGGTATAATTAGTAGCTTGTCAATCCTAGATGTGCACTAACCAGTGAAGATGCGATCTTTGTTAAAAGATGATCATGCAATGTGATGTAAAATAGAAGAAAAAGAAAACCTCAATGATAAATAACGTAAAATAAGTGCTGCAATATTCTTCCACTCTCTGTGTTGAAGTGACTTCTATGTCAGTGGAATGCAAAGTTGAATAAGTGATCTGAGGACATGGATAAATATTATTAAAATCATGGAAAACCTTGGATAATGTTACGCCATCTTTGTTTCCAGTGGCACCAAGGATCTGCACCGTAACCATCCTGTATGGCAGATCTGCGGTATGGCTTAAGCTTTGATATGAGTTGACAGATTTTGGGCTGGGGGGATGTTTGGGGCACTCAGTGGGTATTTGAGTCCAAATAGGTCAAATTGATGATTTATTTAACATCTCCTGACATTGCAGCTGATCACGAATATGTAGCATACTTTTCGAAAAATGTTCATTACTGACTTTGTTTACATCCAAACAAAATGACCCACTTTGGATGAGCCTAGAGCTCCAATTGCCAATGAGAGGCCATTGTTGTAATACGCTGAGCATAGAATGATGAAGAGCGTTTTCTCAAAAGTATGCTACAAATTCGTGATCAGCTATGACCCACTGTAGCTCCCAAAATGGCTTATCATATATGGCCTTTACGAGTGCCCCAAGCTGTCCGGTGACCATCCGTAAGGCTTAGATAGGGACCCGCATCGACCGTAATTTATACAGTGCGGATCTTTAGACTCTTCTGCCACCATCATCAATCTGCCGGTGTCTGATGAGATGGAAGGGTGTACTTAGTCAGAGATTCAGGGTGTGATTTATTTCCAAGGACGCAATCCTTTTTCTCTTTTTCAAGCATCATAGCTCCTATATTTTTGAGTACGCTACAGATCAAACATTTTGCAGGTCTTTAGTATTGGTTTCCTCAAACAGACATTGACAATCTGCTGGACATATATACATAGATTTTTTTGCGTCTATTTGCACCCGACTACAATGTTGGCAATGTTGGCATGTACTAGCTCAATTTGGAATGCCAGGAAATAATGAGGGTTTCTTCCAGAGACCTTCCACTTTTACACTTGTTTTGTACTATGTGTCCAAAAAGTCTAGTAGTAGCTGATACTGCTAGAGACCTGCAGGTTGGATCTCATAGTATTTGTTGTCACTATAATCTATGGTATCTTCAGATGCTGATGTACATATATAAGATTTAGTCATTGGCTGCATCTGTATCTGATAGTTCTTGCTTACTGCCACCCAGCAAAACATAATTCTGAATGCTGGTGAACTGGCTCCTATATACTCATGGATCCTCATGGATATTGACCATAGTTGACACATGTGGACTGGTTGTCCATATTGTCCTAGCCTCATAGCTTGAGGCCTTGAAAAGAATGAGAAGGACTATTAAACAGGGGTATATGCACTAGTTGCATTACTTTAGCACTGATTATTAAAGAAACAAATCAAGCATACCGTTATATGTGGAATGATGGCTGTTATCATGTATTCCATCTCCATGGAAAATATCCCTCTAATATCAAGAATCACAATGATCTATCACAATATGTATTCAATAGGCAGAAATTTTGAACTAAAAAGTGGAGACATGCACCCAAAGGAGAGAATACAAGCAACCTGATTCAATCATGAGCAATAGGACTTGTGTAAGATGGTGAATTCTTCTGCTATCCTCAGCTGCAGTGCCCACAAGTCCCTGATGAAATTTCCTGTGCAAAATAAATTCCTGGTTCGTATATGCAGCAGGAGCATTGAGCTGAGCTTACCAAGCTCGAAATGAAATAAAGATTGTTGCAATAATGTTCGTCAATAAAAGTGCCAGAGGAAGAAATATTCTTGAGGTTTCATAGTCCAATGTGAATGCTTTTTCCAAGTTGAAGCTTGATGCATATATGAATATGATATCCGCAAGTACTGCCCCTGTTCAATTTAGTTGATTAGTCGGTTCCCCTCATCCAGCGTCGTTGATACTTGCCAAAAGAAAGACAGACACAAAAAATTAATATAATCCGATGTGAAACTGTCCTGTGTTGCAAAATCGACCATGCCCTCCAAACAATCACTAGGTCACTTAGAAAGAACTGCAGATAAAGTTCAACTTGCTTTTCACCGGAGCAACAATAACAGACTCGCAGTCTCACATTGACTTTCGAAACTATGGCATCTACCAAAGTAAGAACTTGAGTGACTTCGGGGTGAAAGCTGCCTCCCAATGCGCGGATATCATATGCTATAAAATAGGTCGACATAGCAACATTCACGGTGTCGAAGATCAGCATAGTGATGATCACGCCAAAAAGGAATCTTCTTCCAGAAGAAAAGTCCTTTCTTTGAGCACTAAAGATAAGTCGACGGCTTAACACTTCTACCGTTGAGCTTGTTCAGAAAACTCACGCAAGGCAGAATAATGACAGAAGAGCTGTTACAAGGTATGCACCTAATAACTAAATATTAGTACAGTCATATTAAGCTCAACGATTCGCTAGTACACTCACCGTAAAGCACGTTTGCACCCGATAAGCCCAGACTTTCTACTTCTAGCAGATAGAGATTATGGCTGGTGGCATTTGGCATGACACAGAGCGGAGAGGAGTCCA